AAATCCTCTAAATTTGCCATTTTGTACCGATTCTATGAACCTTTCTGTTTTTTCTATGTGATACTATATGAGATATCAATACATATGAAAATTATTGTTTGTATAATGCCGGTTGTTAATCGGTCACGCTGTTTACTTTTTGGTGGCTTGACGTGTTACGTGTTTGTTTGTTGTTACAGTGATCTGCGTTACAAGGTCAAGGCCGATTTCTCAAAAATTCTGTTTTTTTAAAGTTTCCTTACAAAAGTTGTCTATTTGGTCTCTACTGCTCTTGTTGTAAAGTTAGACCAGATGTGTTTCTAAGTACTTTTTATACTGTTCCTTTTTGCTTAAGCCTTGGAACCTTGCTAGCTAGTTGACTTGTTGTTGTTTTTGTATATTTTCTTTATCTCAAAAATTGGTACAAGGATCTACAGGGGAGAGTTGTATCTACTACACATCCAATATATGTTTTCTTTTGGAGAAGGAAAAAACATGTTTATATATAGAAAAATAGAGAAGATAAAAAATCTAGAGAGAAGAGATGTAATTTTGTCAAAATAAAACATGTGTTTTCTGGCTCTTCCCTAAACATTATATATTGTATTATCGCTTTTTTCAATTTAGTTTAATTTAATTATCATTTGATTTTTACAAGCTTCATAAGTTCTACAATTATAATACAAGCAATTATCTAAATTTGTTATATTTTCAGAATCCATTTTATTACTTTTTGGTTTTTTTATTTAGTATAGTAAATGGGTTTTGAAAAATATAACATTATATGTATTGTAATTGTGAGACTTACTAAGCTTGCAAAAAATCACAAACTAATCAAATCTAATTAAATTGAAAATAGCAATAATAAGTTCTATAGTAAACCATTTTATAGTAGCTTGTAATAAAATTAACAATAATTAATTGATTGCAAACCGGTTTAACCATAGCAATATACTTAGATAATGAGTAAGTTTTGTAACATAATTGTTTACTGCAACTCATGATATAACTTGTAATAATTCTAATAAAAGCTAACCTATATATTGTAAAGGTTCAATCTGAATAGCATTTATTCAAATAATTATCAGATATCTGAATAAAGTTCAAATTGAATATTCAAATAACAAATAGCTGATATTTGTTTACTATTAATATTAAATAATTACCCAAATATCAGTTGGATTATCTAAATATTAGATCTGTTTGTCTAATTTGAATTATTTAGAGAATTCAGATATGAATAAACAAATAACAGATTTATCTGAATTGGACCTCTAACACACTGAAATAGTGAGCAAGTTTCATAAAAGAATTTTTACAATAACTTATAGTAATAATTATAGTAATTCAAATGTACACAAACTCAGTCACACTAATTAATTAAAAAATCAGGGTGCTATATATACTACAATTTTTTTGTTATATATAAAATCTAAATACATCTAGATAAATATCCAGATTCTAATATTTTAATTTAGAAGAATATCTGAATAAATGTTTTTTGAAACAGATGTTAATTTGGATATCTAAATTGTTATCTAGATCCCAACACTACTTGCAACAGCACCAGAATTGTCTTTGTTCAGAGCTACATCTTATCGATTAATGTCAAAATCTATTTCATCTTCTAGAAAACTTTTGTTTAAAGATGAAATTGCTGCTGTTAATAAAATATCTGCATTAAATATTAACAACAAATAACATACTAATATACAATTTAAAAATTAGAAACAGATTATTTTAATACTGTATTTGTACTGTTATAAAATCAATCATTAAAGCATTTTATAAACATAATTACTGTTTAATTACAATAATATGTAGACAGTACAATTAATTTATTCAATATAATAATATAAGATTATTGATTATATACTGTATATTGCTAAAATAAGCCACCTCCAAAAATAAGTTACCCCCTCTTTTCTTGAAGAAGAAATATAAAAAAATTTGTTATTCCGAAAATAAGCTACCCCTGATAATTTTTTAAAATCTGGAAGTAGTTTCTATATATAAAAGTCAAAAATTCTATTAAGTAAATCGATAAAGATTACTTAATAGAAGTTGTTCAGAATGTAAAAATACACATATTCTAAAAGTTTGAAGCAAATCAAAAAAACTTTTTACTAAGATATTTTTGTATTTTACGTTTAAATGTAAAATGCAAAAACATTTTAGTAAAAAGTTTTCCAATTTGCTTCAAACTTTCAGAATATGTGTATTTTTACGTCCTGAACAACTCCTATTAAGTAACCTTTATCGATTTACTTAATAAAATTTTGACTTTTATATATAAAAACTACTCCTAGATTTTAAAAAAATAATAAAAATTAATCTTTTTGAAACTTTATCTGAAAATAAGCTACCCTTATGATTTTTGTATTACTTTTTTGGCCAAAAAAGGTAGCTTATTTTCGGAAACCTATGGTATGCTAAATTATTACTGTAATGAAATATTGCTTTTTTATATATGAATTCAAGTCATATATAGTTTTCAAAGCTTCATCTTAAATTGTAATTCATACAAATACTAGTTAAGTTTTTTCCTCAATATTAAAGCTTTAATATGTTTTACATTATTCATATTTAGTGAATATAGTTTTTCTAAAAGTGACAAAAACTGCTTAAGAACCTGACTTATATAGTAGAAGATATACTAATACCTAAATATTTGGCAATTTTTTCAAAATAATAGGCTTTCTAGATTTTTTTTTAATTATTTTCTAGCAAAGCTGCTTTAAAAGTATTGCTTTTCTGTATTTCCATATACAGTACAGTACCTAAATATTTTGCAATGACATGCTTAGAAAGACTAGTAAATGATTTTTAAACAAATATAATTTAAAAATATTATAATATGAATAAAGGTTGTATATATAGTTTTGCATAATATTTACAAGTATACAAAATCTGTTTTTTTTGGCAAATATATATAAAGTTTTTGTCTTGAAAATTATCTTATAATATATAATACTGTAAAGTTATTTTTAAAGCAAAAAACCCATATATTATATTTTATATATTATTTTTTAAAATTTAATAACAATAATTTACTGTATCTATTATAATACTAATTTGCAAAACTACTCAAATTTAATTATATTAGTAATATAATATAATATTAATTAAAATATATATAAGGGCAGTATCGTTTATCACCTGATTTTTTTTTATTAGAGGTTTATCCCCCCCTAGTTTTTAATATATAAATTATCAGGTCTTACATATAAAATTTCAATTTTTTTGACCCTCTCCCCTCTAGAAAATCATCTAATAATTGTCAGCTCCCTAATCACTTGTCAGCTAGTAATATTTCAGAATAAATTTTTTAATAAAAATTATGATATAGTGAAATATGTAAAGTTTAAAAAAAAAAATAAATTAATGAAATCATAGTAGAATAAAAATTCTATAGGTTTGTTTTGCAGAATAGTGAGTTAAGATAATAGATAAATTTGTTGTTTCTATCACCTTATTGAAAAAATCATAGCAGAAAACACTAAAGCTGAGAAGATATTTATAGTTCAGTATGGGCTCCAAGAGGGAGTTTTGCTGCACAACAGCACATGAATGAACG